TCTTTACGAGATTTTTGTAATTTCTTTTGATTTGTTTTTAATTTTATATTATCATACTTTCATAATAAAGATATTGCAAAACTACCGCACTTTAAAAAAAAAAAAAATATTATTTCACGAAAAAAATACATAACAAGAAATTTTTTAAAAAGTCACAAATAAAGTATTAACTAAATTTAAATATATTAAAAATGAGTCATAACCTTTAGAATTAGCTAAATTTTTGGTGTTGTTTTTATTTAATTATGCGAATATCACGATTTAAAAATTTTAAATGAAATGGAATAATAATTTTGGAAGTCACTATATATTACGAAATTACTATACTTTATAAAAAAAAATAAGTATCAAATAAAAGTATTTAAAAGTTATTATTTTGTTTATATATAATTAATTTTCTTTAAATAAATTTAAAAAAATTTTTTTTATTAATTTTTATTGTATTTTTAAGATTACATAAAACAGTAATTTATATAATAATTAAATAATTATTGATTACGCAGGCTAGTTCCATATGATGTATAATAAATTCTTGAAAATAAAGATTTTACAAAATAAATTGATTTCTTCGTATATTTTTCTATTTTATTTTACTGTGCCACGTTTTCTAACCAATCATATGTTTGGAATTACATTTTGTCGGAACACAAAAAAGCAATTAGAACTTAATATTTGCATCGTGAATATGTACTCCCATTTTGATAGTTCCAAGTCAACCTTACTCCTTCATTTTTAGTGACAATTCGTTTACTATAAATCTTTAACGAAGATTAATGATTGTATCGATTGTTTCGTTAGAAATATTGAATTAAAAATTTCTGTTAGCATTTTGAGTATGTACTGTAAATTAGAATCGAAAGTGAGACATCCTGATTAACTCTGCCAATATTTGTCATCATAGGAGGAAGATTTTTTGTAAGATGATGATTTATTCATATTGATTTTACCATCATTCATTTATAAATGAGAAAAAAAAAGTTTATATTTTCATTGATTAGCCAATATAATTAGGATGTGTCATATAAGTCTAATATATGATTTAGCAAGACTGAATAAAACCTGAGGGATATTTCTTCCTAATGCGTAGCATAAAGAGAATATGCTGTGTTTGATGAACTTTGTCGGGGAATTTCACAGTATCTTTAATTTAATTCCACAGCTAATTAGCAAAAAAAAAAAAAAAAAAAGGATTTTCTTCGTCTTAGAATAAATCTGGATTCAATCATGTAAATCACTTCTTGATACAATAACAAAGAATTGGTAACTAGTAATAAACACCGCCAGTGAGTTTTAGAAATATTCGAAAATTTTAATTGGAGAAATTTATTATTCTAATAAATAATATTACATCCGATATCGTTCTAAATTTATTTTTCGTCGTTTCCAACTACTTTCTGTTTCTTGACTATCAGTCTGCTCGAGAGATTTTATTCCGATCTTTTTCCAATCACAATTATTTGATTGACCATATACCGAAATAGGATTTTGAGATCCATTTATGTACAGTACCGGAACCATTGATGGTCTTTCGATAAATGGCAAAATGATGTAGTTAAAATAATGCTTGAAACAAAAGACTATCACCCGTATATATAAATGTATCCTTACCTCCCATGTGCACATTGAAATGGAAAATCACACTCTGCAAGTTTTTTTATCAACTCTTCACATTTTTGTAATGAAAGATTGTCATTAAACATGATAGCACCTATTAAAAAATAAATAAACTAATATTATTGATATTGTTTTTATATATAAATTGACCAACAATAAATAAATTACCTCTACAGGCTTTAGAATTTAATATATCAACGATGCCTCTTGGACATTTTCTTATCATTGTCCGCCATTCTCTAGATAAATCAGTATTATCATTTGTGCTAAAATCGATGCCAATCCCGCCTGTATCTTCTAACCAATAAAGATGCTGACGAATAAGTTCTTGTGTCATTCTTGTATCTAATACACAACGATCAGCAATCATTTTCGGAAGATGAGTCACATAGATCGGAATAATGTCACCCTCTTTTGAAGAAATGAAATGCGGCGAAACAAAAGAAGTGGTTGACGTATTAGGCATGTTATCGGACTTGGCTTCACATTTATCACTAAAAAATATTCCCCATTTATTAAAGTTGCCTTCAAATCTCCTGATAGCTTGTGCCTCCCTAAATGTTAAAATTATCTTATTTGATGGTTTAAGTTGAATTGTTTCAACAAATGAAGTAGCTTGCTGCATTTCACCATCAATATCCATTCGATCCGGTTGCTTAAATTCACAAAATTCTTTCATTAACATCTCAACACGCACGCGTTCATCAGCTGCGTGTTGGTCAACAAGGACCAAAATATTACGTGTTCTTTGTTCAACAACTCCATTCTCATCTATACTTTGATCAATATTTTGCGTACAAGGTAACTTGCAAGCAATGAATTTATCATCAAGTTGTCCTATAACTTTAGCCTGCTCAATATCTTTTTTACAAAAACGATGCTCCGAAACATTTGTACGAGTTGAGAAAAAATTGCTAGTGATGGAAAATTTGTTGTTTGCGGTCATTACTTTAAGCATAGGAATTGGAACTTCCGTGCTTTTGAAAACGGGATTATTCCATTTCTAATTTAAAAAATTAATAATAAATGATATTGAAATTGAAAAAATTTTGGACATTGTTATAATTTACCTCAAAAGCCTCTTTTGCCCAAGACATCGCTCCCGAATTATTAATTTTGTCATCATCTTTATGAAAGCTTGATGTTCTAAGTCTACTTCGATCTATTTTAGCTTTTAATTTGACGTTTGCATTAAAAGAGTGTGATTTTGATTTCCTGGTAATTAAATCTTGAGAACTTGGTCGATTCGCTCTGAAGTTATTCTCTGAATCTTTGTTATCTTCGGTAAGATCATCACAGTGGCTAACGTCGTATAAACCTCTTTTAAATTCTTTATCTTGAAATGTGTACCGACTCTGACCTCCACTTTTAATATGAAATATATCTTCAAGAGAAAGTGGTAAATCGCGTTTATGATTGATTGGTCCCTGATTAATTATTGAAATGGTAGAATTATCATCTAAACTTGGTATTGGCTCAATCTCACGTAATGAAAAACCATGTTGCACCAGAAATTGAGATACTAGTGCAGATAAAAGGCCTAAAATTTTGGACCAATTCTGAAACGAGTTTGAAAAAAGTTTAGCCAACAATTTAAGTCTCAAAATTTAAAATAAAAAGAAATATCAAATCAACCTTAAATTCTATTATATTTTTTGCTGGATCCAAACATATATCATAATTAATTGTTGGACAAGTGAGATGAATGAAGAATATCGGATACTTTTCTAGAGACTTTGTCATAGAGCTTTTTTCTATTTAGAAATAATTAAATAAGTTTTGTTTCGTAAGTTAATTTATTCACATATCATTAAGAAAATACTCACTAAATTTTGATGGAGAATCCGATCCGTATTCCAAAGGTTCATCATAGTTCTAATTTAGAAGAAAGGATTTTGTAATAATGAAAACATTATAAGGGAATATTTCATTTATCGGAAATTTTACTTGGTCGTCTAACCTTTTTCCCAAAACTACTTTGATTGAACATGTCATCAATCAATTTGTGTACTTCATTATAATCTATATACCGTTTATTAACGTCTAAAAACCAGTAAGGTTAGTATTTCAATAAGATGAGATAATAAGCGAATGTTTGTATAAAGTTATCAATAATTACAAAAATATTGATGATGCTATATAACAATAATTAATTAGAATATTGATTTAAATGCATAGGAAAAAATATATGTCGCAAAATATTATTTACTTTCGTATGAAACCCTCTAAGGGAAAGGAATCCATCGATTTTGATGTCGTCTTCTTCAGCGTATACTGATTCAAGATTCTATAAAGAAATAATAATAATAATAAAAATGAAATATAATAATAAAGAAGAATTATAGATTAATTCCGTTATCTACCTGCGACAAAGATGATCCAAAAAGCTGATGAAAAGTATAAATACTATTTGCAACCTAAATAAAATAATTGAAAGGTCATTTAAAACTCTTTGCTGGCTAATCAACAAAGGAACCAAATTTACCTTTCTTGTAGTAACAATTTTTCTATCTCTTAATGCGTCAATTAAAGTGAAAGTCACTTGAGGATTAATTAATGCTAAAGATTCTACTGATTTTTTAACATTTTCGAGTTCATTGATGAATTTATTCTCTGATAAATGCTTACGACGGACAGGATACTATAAATATTAAACAAGGATTTTAATTACATTATGATTTCATGAATTCTTTAAAAATATTAGGGTCATACAGTGTAAAACAAATCACGAATAATAATTATAGTCCCGGACTTTCTACGTCTGCATCGTGTCGGTCCATATTGAAGACGCTGACCACCCTAAAGAGCAAGTAATAAAATATTAAGATATCATAATTAATTGATGTGAAAATTATTCGAAACAAATGTATAATCGAACCTTCAGAATAGTGCAATATGTGTCGTAGCAATCAGGATGTTTACTTATTATTTCCAAGATTGAGACTTCAGCCAAAGAAGATAAGGCTTTAAATAAATATAGGATAAATTAAATAAACGATTAAAAAGCATCGAAAGAAATTTTACTGAATGAATAATTATCAAACCTTCTCCGCGGAAACCATAAGTGATTACACGTGCCAAATCTTCTAAGGTATGACATTTTGAGGTAGCTATAAATATTAAAGGATATTAAAATCAAAATTTCATTCTAATTAATAGAATTAAATAATTAAATTTAAATACCATATCTTTGACCAATTTTTTTCATATCATCTGGTGTAATACCTGAACCATTATCAGTAATTTGAATAAAAAATTTCATCAAATCTACATGAATTTCTATGGACGTGGCTAACGCGTCAAGGCCTGACAAGAGTTTGTTACGAGCATGGTAAATAACATAATATAGAATAATAAAGTAGTAACGCTACATGTTCTTACTATTCTGAACGAGTTCGACGACGCACTGAGCAATAGTTGAAATAAAAGAAGCTCGAAGTTTGCGAATAGCCGAGTCATTTAAACGACGAATTGTCATGTTGGAAAGTAGTGACAATTTAACTGAGAATGTACACGTTAAGAAATCCCTTTTAGGATAACTTTATTATAAATCGAATAAAAATCAATTCGACAAATTGTGTAAAAATCCGAAAAGTAATCAACTTTTTTTCATTTTTTTTTTTTTAAGTTTATATTCAATTGAAAATAACCAACTCGAAATTACCAAAAACAATTTAATCCTAATTGATATGTAAAGTAAAAATAAAAAACAAAAAAAACTAAGATATATACAAAGAATACTAATAATAACTATAAAATTTGTGAACTGGAATAAATAATAACAATAATAAATATATTATGTCTTTTGGATTTACAAAATTCTAATTATTATTTTGAATATATTATAAAAGCCTCTGATAAGTAAATGTCATTTTTCAAATAAGAGGGGAGACAACTTTACCATAATTTCCAAGATTTGTTCTTTTGTTCATGTTGTTTGCTCAATTGCTTAGCCAATTCAGCAAAATTAGAAGCATTATTTTTTAACGTCTCGGTTTTATCAGATATATTTTCAAGCTTTTCTTGACGTTCATTCAGAGCTTCTCCGATTTCAGCCAAGACATCCTTCGTTTGTGAGGCACCATTTGTGGTTATATGATCTTTTGGAGGTACTGGTGGTGGAACTTGATCTCTACCTTCTAATAATTGCTCCCGCTCGCTAGCTATTGTCTCCTCGCCTCCATTTCTTGCACTTCTACTTAACTCTTCCTCTTCTTCCGGATCAACTTCAGGATAAATACGTTTATCAAGTTCATCGAATTTTTCTTTAAGTTTTTCAACAAGGACAGTTGGTGTACGTTTAAAAAACATTTTCATATTAACGAGTTTATTCATGGAATTCATTCTTTTGTTGGCGGCAGTAGCTTCGGTTGTATCCTGTTTTTCCTTCTCTTGACCTTCATCGTTGTTTTCTGCGGATCTCGCAGCATCCGCAGTTTTATCGTTATTCTCGTTGGAACTTTCGATGATGGATTCGGGTGAAGCGGGCGTAGCGGATGTAACGTTATCCAACTTATCAACATCATTATCCTTGTTTTCCTTTTGCTGAATTTGAACAGTAGAATCTGAAGTAGCAGCATCCTTCTCTTCTGAAATGGTACTTTGAACGCTAGCATTTGCAGAGGAATCATGTTTACCCATCATGTTTCCAAATTTCTTGGTAACACTCTTGAGAATATCGGCGCCTTTACTTGTTGGAGAAGTTTGGTTTGGAGGAACAATTTTTTTAGGCGAAGTCGAAGTTGGTGAAACTGTAGGTTCAGGATCTTTGGTTTCTTCCATTTCAATTGGGGAAGCAACAAATTGAGGAGAACCACTTCGTGAAGGAACTTTAATATGTAAACCGTTTTGAGTGGCTAAACATTTTTTTTTTTTAATAAAAAAAGGAAGACCATATATTAATAAATTAAAACCAACTTATAAAGAATAAACTTGTAAAGAATAATTAAAAGAAAAACCTTACGTTTATTGTCATTTTTTTGTTTTACTGATTCCCCTTCATTATTATTTTGAAAATCATCTATTTTCACCTCAGGAACGGTTTGGTTTTTTTTTTCGTCCACGAATTCATTATTGTTACCAGTAGTTAATGATTTTGTACTCATATTGTCTCCTTTTCTTTTGATGTGAAGTCGTTAATTGTTATTGTAGATGGCTTGGGATTTTCAGAAAAAAAGGGTCCAAAATGCCCTTTATTTATACCAAAAAAAAATTAAGGTTTATGTAAAAAATATTGTATGATAATGGAGGGTTAATGGCTTAATTTTTAGATTCTGGAAGGATTATATTTGTATAAATACGTTCCATGCTGGGAAATTTTTGTTGAATATCAATTGGTAATGTTTTGATTTAATGTTAAACAAGAATATTTCGGTTTAGATGTTTCGAAACCTATTTCAACCTGATTTACTTTAACACTTTTTATTTTAACTTTTACATTTTAAAATTGGAAACGTTACAAATTTGGTTTAATTCGATTCGATTTATTTTATTTTATTTTATTTTTTTTTTTTTATATTTGCATTCTAAATTGTTTGAATCACATAATTTTACCATGCAGAAATCCAAATACACAAATTATTATGACTATATAATATTACTATTTAAGAAATTTTATGTAACAAATGTAATAAAGCAAATAGAAGGAAATATTTTAAAAATCAAGCATTTATGAAGCAATTAAAATGTCCTTTTTTTAAAGTTTGGAAATGTCGGTCAAATTTAACCCGTGACGTTTAATCAACTTCTTCCATTTGAGAAGCTTCCGCAGCGGAAGAGTCAACTAGAGTTGGAATTTCTTCAGTTTCCATTGCTTCGGTTTCGTCACTGCCAATATCAAGACCAAGCTTGATCATCTTGAAAATTCTTCCCGCAAATGATGATGGTTCGTCCAAAGTAAAACCAGATTGTAAAAGTGAGGTTTCGAAAAGAAGCCATGTGAGATCTTTAACGGTTTTATCATTCTTGTCAACCTCTACTTTATTTTTAAGTGACTTGACAATTGGATGGCGAGGATTGATTTCCATAATTTTCTTGGAAGCCATATAAGAAGCCATGCTTGAATCTCGCAACGCCTGCGCTTTCATAATACGTTCAAAGTTGGCAGACCAACCATATTGACCCGTGACGAGAACACAGGGTGATTCCGAGATACGATTTGAAACAAGGACCTAATAATATTGGTATTTCTTTGATTAGTAGGATTCAAAATAAATTGTTTTGATAAGGGAGGCTGCTGTGATTTTTACCTTCTCAACTTTATCTCCGAGAATTTCTTTGATTTGTTTACATAGTTCCTCGTACTGTTTAGCTTCTTCTTCGCGTTGCTTTTTCTCCTCTTCGTCTTCATCAAGTTCCAGGCCTTCTTTAGTAATACAGACTAATTTCTTACCATCATATTCTTTAAGTTGTGATACAGAATATTCGTCAATAGGATCGGTCATTAGCAAAACTTCATAACCTCTCTTCTTAAGCACTTCAACAAAAGGTGAATTCTCTACAGCTTGACGGTTTTCACCGGTAATGTAGTAAATGTCTTTTTGTTTTTCTGGCATTCGAGTAACATAATCTTTAAGAGATGTTAATTCATCTCCAGATTTTGTTGAATGGTACCGAAGGAATTCTGCTAGTTTAGCGCGGTTTTGAGAGTCTTCGTGGATACCAAGTTTGATATTCTTTGCAAAGGCTTCATAAAACTTGTTAAAGTTGTCTTTATCTTCACTAATTTCTGAGAAGAGTTCCATACATTTCTTTACTATGTTCTTACGAATCACTTTAAGGATCTTATTTTGTTGAAGCATTTCACGAGAAATGTTGAGAGGTAAATCCTCGGAATCCACAATACCCTTAACGAAGTTGAGGTATTCCGGAATCAAATCTTCACAATCATCCATAATAAAGACGCGACGAACATATAATTTGATATTGTTACGTTTCTTCTTTGTCTCGAAGAGATCGAATGGAGCACGACGAGGAACGAAGAGGATTGCACGGAATTCAAGTTGACCTTCAACAGAGAAGTGCTTGACAGCCAAATGATCCTCCCAATCATTAGAAAGAGACTTATAGAATGAAGCATATTCTTCATTTGTGATATCATCGGGGTTTCGAGTCCAAAGTGGTTTTGTCTTGTTAAGTTCCTCGGTTTCCTTAGTTTTCTCTTTAATTTTCTTTGTTTTCTTCTCCTTCTTTTCTTCTTCGTCTTCTACTTCCTCAATTTTAGGTTTCTGATCTTCGCCTTCTTTGACCTCCTCGTCCTCTTTGACCTCTTTGTCTTCCCCTTCTTTGACCTCCTCTTCATCTTCAACTTCTTTCTCAACTTCCTTTTCGACGACAAGTTGAATTGGATAACCAATGAATTCCGAATGTTTTTTAACGATTTCCTTGATCTTGCGTTCTTCAAGATATTCAAGTTGGTCTTCCTTCAAGAAGAGTTGAATCTCTGTGCCTCGTCCAAGTGGGGGATTTTGTGTGTCACGTGCGATAGTGAATGAACCACCGGCAGCTGATTCCCAAATGTATTGTTCGTCGTCGTTGTGTTTGGTGATGACTCTCACACGGTCAGCAACTAAGTAGGCGGAATAGAAACCCACACCAAATTGACCGATCATAGATATATCGGCACCGGATTGTAAAGCTTCCATGAAAGCCTTTGTACCAGAACGGGCGATGGTACCAAGGTTATTTACTAAATCAGCCTATAAATTATAAATTATAAATTTTATGAGAAGGTTAAAGTTATATTTGTTAATATAATTTTTATAGGGAAAAATCATTTCAAAAATGCAGAAATAAAATACGATACCTTTGTCATACCGATACCAGTATCTCGAATGATGAGTACATTGTGTTCTTTATCAGGAGTAATTTTGATATACAAATCACGACCGGTTTCAAGTTTTGAAGGATCAGTAAGTGACTCATAACGGATCTTATCCAAAGCATCGGAACAATTAGAAATCAATTCACGAAGGAAAATCCTATGTAGGAAAGATACAAAAGTAAATGATGTTAGGATAGTTGTGTCAAAATTAAGTGGTGTAACGATGAGACGTATAAAAAGTAAACGCTAACTAGAGGTAATAATAATAATAATAAAACTAATAATAATAAGTTATAATAACTTACTCTTTATTCGAGTAAAAGGTGTTGATAATAATTGACATAAGCTGAGATATTTCAGCTTGGAAAGCAAATTGTTCAACTTCTAGGTCGCTCATCATGATAATACGTGAAAAAAAAGTCTTTTATAAAAAAAAAAAAAATAAAAAAGTATATACACTTGAATAAAAAAATGATCCTTTCGGGTGCGTTAACAAAAGAAAAATTTTTTTGTTGAGAAAACTTTTTTTGAAGAAATTTTTTGATCCTTTTTATAATAAGATGACATGAACGGATGTCGTAGCCTTTTTGCAAACTTTCTATAATGTTCTATATGACAATGTTTTCTGTACAATTGTAATTGAATTTTTTTTTTATTGTGCACATGCCAAAAAAAGGAAGATCATCAATTTCGTAGTTGGAAGGTTCCAGCAAATTTTGAAAAAACTACGGAGATATATACTTTGGAAGGTTCCAGCAATTTTGAGAGTTGACGAACGCACCAATCGAATAAATGTTAAAAAGGCTGTGTCTAATATTTTCAAAATCAAAATTAAATAATTCTAGAAAGATCTAATTTTATCTAACAGGTCAACGATAAAAATGATAAAAAATGAAAAATAAAAAGTAAAAATTTCTTTTTTTTCCGACAAAAGAAAAAAACTGATGGCTAATTTTAATTTAACATAATGCTTTAAGGAGACAAGAACATGTTCCGGTATTTTTTATTTGTTACCCACCTAAACATTTTTTTATTTTAGGCGTTATCTGTGCCCACAGATTTCACATGATATTGATAAGTACTTCCTTTTTCCGATCAATCTGGAACTGAAATCAATTAAAGAGAATGCAATATGTATGATTTTTATTTATATAAAATATAATACAAAATGAGACTAAATAAAATATATCTATATATTAAATTAATTATATTAATTTTCTTCTTTTAACTAAATATGCCTATTACTTTGTCCTTTTTCTAGTAACGTGTCTTTATAAATATTTTCATATTGTGGTAAATCAGCCGTAAACGATTCTTTATCCAGTTCTGCTTCCCTTCTTTTGTCAAAAACAATTTCATCTCTTTTTTCATCGAAATTTTCCAAAACATCATCAATAATATAAGGAGTTAATATGCCGGGAGGTATAACGTCAGGACTTTGTTTTTGACGAACACAACTCGCAATTCCAGATTTAGGTAGCCATTCTGCTAATTTCTGTTGATACGTTTCTTTATAATCAGAATATTCTTCACCATCACCTTCGTTATCCGAATTTGAACCAGAAGAATTTGATTTTGGTTTCTTTCTTCTTGGATATAATAATTCACAATTTTTAATAAAACAATCTTGACTAAAAGCTGTTGAATCTGGAATTAGACTTTTCCAACTTTTCTCTAAAGCTTTAGATATTTCGGATAAAGTTAATCCAGAAGGTAATATTACCCTGTGTATAGGGTATAATTTCGAATCGATAAATTCATCTGTGGGTCGAATCTCCAACATAACTTCTAACCAAGGAATATAATTTAATGCAATATTCAATGGTCTAGAAAATGCTAAATCATCTGATAATAATGCTGACGTCTTGATTGGAGTGGTGAATAAATCGAATGTAATGTTATGTGATTCGTTTGAAGCAAAGGTTGTAATGATTGAAGGAATAGATATGGATCTTGATGTGGGAGATGAAGGAATAATTTCTGGAATTTCTGGGTAAGCAGAAAGAAGCGGTGAAGGTGGTGGTGAAAAAGCTGGCCCATTATTGCCCTGATCCAATGGATCATATTCTACCAGTAATTCCGAGTGTGAAGACATCCATTTTAATATATCGTTTCTGGTACCATGAAATATGAATTTTGAATTTAAAGGTGTAAGACGGATTCTTGTAAGGTTTGATGGTTTCACTATACGGGCCTTATTGTCTCCTGAGATTTCTAAAAAAACAAATTTTTTTTTTAAGGTTATGATATGAAAATTTTACATTTACAAAAGAATAATGAAAATCTTGAAAAAAAAAGATATATTTACCCATGGAATATCCATATTTCATTTCTTTACTTTTAATGTTCTTAAACATCATATTATAATCAAAAAAAAAAAATATAATGTAGTAATTAAATAATTGTGGCAACTTGTGTATATTTATAAGAATTAATAATGCCAAGGATAATATGTGAAACCAAAATTTTTTAAAATATGAATTTTTCCATGAATGACACGAGATATGTCGTCATTCTAAAAAGTAAGTCATATGCCCAACTTGTAAAGTCTCCTTACTAAATAATCAGCCTCACTTGACAATTTTTTTTTGAATAAGAAAAAAAAAATCCCCAGCCACTTGTGTATCGATGTAAATCCGAACAAAAGAATTTCTACTGATCTAAAATAAATAATATAATTTTTTTTATTTAATGTAGACGGTTTGCATTAGAAAGGAAGAAAGTCTTGACATATTTTTCTTTCTTGTTAATATATTTAAGTATATACAACAACCATTTCCCTTTGGGACAAAAAAAAAAAAATCGCAATTGTAATATACATTTTGAATTAATGGGTCAGTATCACATGATATCAGAGATTTTCTAAATTTATAAATTTATCTAATTCAAATATAGTTAATACTTATTTTAACGTTGCAGATGATCGAGATGATCGGCATTAAATTATAATAATTAATCCTATTGATAAATTTTTGCATTAATTACAAACTTTAAATAAAAAAAGTATTATCATATAGTATTAATTTGAAGAATTATATTAGTTATATTCAATTGTATTATTATATACTATAATCAATAAAAAAATTTGATAAATATATAACATATGTAATTAATTAATAATAAATGAAAAACTGATCATTATATATAAATTTAATAGTTTAAATAATATCCTAATTTATATAGCAATTATAATCTAAAAAGATGATAAAATTTTACTTTATTTTAATTAAATTAACTATAGAATAATAGGATAATATTAAAAAATTTTATATTTTATATTTAATCTTTTATTATTATTTTTTTTTTATTTTTAACTACTTTTTTTTTCTTTATTTAAAATTTTTATTTATTATTTGTATTTTAGATTTATTTTTTTCTTTTTATCAATTAAATTAAACAATGAGTAATATTTTATTTTAATATCTTAAATCTAAGTTAAGTAAATTGCAATAATTGATTTTATTTATGAGAAATTACAATTTTTTAAATTATTATTTTTAAAGAAAAAAGTATGTGTAAATGTTTTAATTAATTTATTGATTTATATTTAAAATTTACAAAAAGTTAATTTAAAATTATTCTATTTATATATAAATTAATTGTTACTTTTATATTTATATATATAATACATATTTAAAATTATTATATAAGTATGATATTTAGAAAATTAATAAATTAATTAGAAATTGTAAGTGAAAATCTTAAATTATATTATAAAACTAAATAAATTACTTCAAGTAAATCAGTTAATTTTAATAACATTAAAACTAATTTTAGAAAAAGTAATGTAAAATATTATTTGAAAATTTAAATTTTTATTTATTAATTTTCTAGATAATAATAAAAAATGTAAAAAACAATAAATCAAATTAAATCAATTAACTAAGAGTGTCATTTTTTTTAGATTTAAAAATTTTAGTATTTATATTAAATTTAATAAGAAAAACTATTCTTTTTTTAAAAGCTTATATAATAGCTTTAACTGATTGTTATATATATTTAGTTTAATTTAATATTATTTTAAAAAATTACTATATAATTTTAATTATGAATTTTAACTATTCTTATATTATAATAAATAATGAATTTGAAAATGATAAATATATTTTTTATTTCTTTTTACATTTTTAATTTTGAGATATATTAATATTAAATGTTTTTATTATATAATTAATTTAATTACTTTATTAATAATATTTTATTATTAATTATTTCTTTAAAAAATAATACTTATCAAAAAGCTTTAAAACAACTATAATAATTAGAATATTCTTGTGTTTTATATTTACAATTATATTAGTATAAAGAAATCAATTACTTTTTAATTTATTATTTAGATATATATTTGAAGAACTATATAATTGATAAAATTTAATTAACATTCTAATACTTTATTTTAAATAAAAACCTGAATAATACATATAGAAGTTACATTAAAATCAGAATTTTTTATTATAATCAATAAGCAAATTATTTCAATTTGGTTGAATAAATTTTCATATGACTTTTAAAATTTTATTTTTATTATACAATCTATTTTATGACATATTAATAGATATATCTATTTAATTGAATAATAATTTATTAGAATAATTGTATTAATTTATGACTTAACATAGAGTATTTAGTAGATCTGTATGATGTAATGACTTTAATAATCACTTCTTTTTAAAATTATATGAAATAATTAAAATAGTACAATAACCTATAAAAGAAATATTATCGCTGATAGCGAATATATATAATTAAGAAAAAAACTAATTTCTCTAATTATATATATTATCAATCTGTCGTAATAACTATGTAGTGTACAATAATTTAATTACATTTAGATAAAAAATAAAATTGATAATAAAAAGTTTTTTATGTAGAAATATTCATTCTAACTTTTTTTATAGTATTAAAATTTGCAATTTCAATTTTAAATAACAAATTTTCCTAATAACTAGAAAATAACTACATGAAATAAGAAAAATATTAATTTAAAAATAAAATAAAGTAAAAAAAAATATTTTTTTTTTTGAATTTTTTTTAAAATAATACTAACATTTTTCTTTTTTAAAAACAGTTTAGATGCTAGAATAATGCTAAAATGCTTCAAATATTGAAATAAATATAAAAAGTAAAAAATTTTTTATTTTTTAAATTAACAGACCTTTAGAATTTTTTTTTACTTTGTTAAATTAGTAATGATCTTTTATTTCTTTTTTTTTAGATCCTAATAATGCTTAATTTAAATATGAAGATAAATATGAGGTATTTTTTTTATTTCATATAAGGTTTTTCCTTTTATTTTTTTTATTTAGTGTGAGGTTTTTTTCATTTTTTTATTTCATGTGAGATTTTTTTTCTATTTTTTTATTTCATGTAAATATTGATTTCATTTTTTCAAATTAATTTTAACTCATTTTCTTTATTTTTTTAGTTTTTAAGAAATAGTTGATGCTAGCGTATAAGAAGGAGAATTTTTTTTATCTCTTATTTCTTTTTTTAGAAATAGTTTAATGAAAATAAATACAAGATTTTTTATTTTTTTTCTTCATATGAACACTTTTTTTCGTTTCTTCAAGTTAGTTCTAACTTTTTTTCTTTATTTTTTATATCTGAATCAAAATGTTAAGAGCTTTAAACTGTTTTTTTAAAAAAAAAAAAAAAATGTTAGACCTGATTTAAATAAACAAATAAATACTTTCAACTATAAAATACTTATCTCAATACTCAAATAAAAGCGACTTTTAATTAGTATTTATTAATCATTTGAATTCAGTTACATGTGATCTATGAATTAAACTTTTTATTATTAATATATTATATTATATTAATAATTGTATTTTTAATATTATCATGATTAAAATAATTAAAAGTATTTTATACTATTTCTATTAAAATTAATAAACTTTCATTAATTATTAATTCATTTATATTAATATGATATAAATATTTTAAGGACAATGATGAGTAAATAATACATAGCCTTTCAAAATTTGGCTTGCAAAAATATTGAGATAAATTAGTAAATACACTCATAAAGAAACATATGATAAATTTTTAATTTGATTAATTACATTTTGGATATAATAAAAATTACTATAGCCTTCATAATACATTGCTATTATTTTAGCAACGCAGATTTTTTTTCATATAGTATAATAATAAAATCATCTTACAGTAAAAAAAATCTTGAATAACATTTGCTAATTCAATATGCATAATTGTATTTAAATAATAAATTATTAATAAAAATTTATACAAAATAATAAAATATATTATATTAACTTACCCATATTATTAGTTTTATAATTATAATTATAAACAGTTTGTTTTTGATTGATAATTCAAAATTTTGTATAATCACAAAATTCATAACCATTGTATTCTAATTTTCTTTTTATCATTTTCACGTGTCTTTACAGTCAACTCTTTCTATAACGAATTTTGATATAACAAATTTTACAATATAATGAATTTTCAATATCAAACAGATTTTTAAATATAAAAAAAACCCTTACTATACCGAATTTAGTAATTAAAAATTCATACTATGTTTAATGAATTAAAGTTAGAAAATTTATATATAAAATGACTCTCTTTATAACAAATTTTCTCTATAACAAATTTTTTTTGATACAACGAAGTTTTGCTTAAAATGAATTTTACTAGATTTATGTATATAAAATTTTGTAGTTCTTTGTATCTAGTTTTTAAATAAAATTAAAAAATAAATAAATATTTGCATTACGCATTCTGTTTTGTGTTTCATTTTTTTTACATATTTTATTTTTTATGTGTTTTTTTTTCTTTGCATAATGCCAATAATGCCAAAAGTAAACTCAAAGAAACAACTTAATTAACCTACTAACAAACAAGATAAACCTTTAAAAAAAATGAAAGTCTTTTATAGCTGCACAAAAAAAGAACTTTGTTTGAAAAAAATATCATCACCTTTTTTAAAACAAAAAAACTTGGTTAATGAATATGACATTAGTGAAGGCATGGTAAGTGGCATTTTAAAGGAGAAAGACCATTGACTTTCTGTGGATACTAATTCATACTAAGCCAATTTGAAACATAATAAGAAAATTTCATTCCCTCTCGTTGAAGAAGTGTTAGTAATATGGGTAGATAACGCACTCAAAGCTAATCTCATTATTACTGACAATATTCTTTCAACAAAAGCCTTGAGTTTTGCTTTTTTATTAAAGGAGAATAAGTTTAAAGGGTCTAATAGTTGGGTGGACAACTTTAAAAAATAACATAATCTTAAACAATACGTTATATACTAGGAAGCCACAAGTGTATCGCTTAAAGATCTTGAAACAATAAGAGATAA